TTGTCCTGTCCATGGAATCCATAGCTTGTTTAGTCATGGAACCTCATGGCTTGTCCAGTCATGGGGCCCACGGCTTAAGTAGTTCGTGGGGTCGTATTAACGATTTCAAAATGTTAATGAATGATTTCTTAAGCAAAGAGATCTTGTGAACTGGTAATAGAGTCTATTGCTGTAAGCCTAGATAGGATGTAGATAGTGCATCCTCGGGGGTAGAACCCGAAACTCGGTCCGGGTAGGCAAGGCACTTGGTTAGGTAAGTAATTTGTACTAATTACTTGCTGAAGCCTGTAATATGGAGATTTTACATTTATTTCCTTTGAGAAAAAGGATGTGAGGTTCCGGCTGTCTGTTGAAACTGAATGTCTATTCATTTACGTACCCATTTATTCATTTACTTGCACTTTATCTATTTATTTATTTTACATCCTTGCAAATTATATCCTACTGGGCCTTTCGCTCACATTTTATGTTTCAAATGTATTAAACCACTCCCAGGAGACTTTAGGAGCGGTGCGGGGTAGCGGAAGATTGCTACTGTTGGATTAAGAGAGGATTGAATTTATCCTTTTGAATAAATGTAAGGAATTTGAGAATCCTGTAAACTTATGTAATAATTGGATTTACTAGACTGTGGTTGATGTCTGTTGTAATGATTATTTACATGAGCATGTATGTACGATACTGTATGTCCTGTGGGGTGGAGCCCTGTGTGTCAGAGGCTCCGGAATTCTGTAATTTATTTATATTTTAATGCAGTTAAGTGTGGGGCCCGGTTGGGAGCCTGCTTTATTAATCCTAAATCGAGCTCCACGTCAGCCACCCCGTTTGGGGGGCGTGACAGTTAATTATTAACTAATATTGATTAATAATAAAGAATAATTGAGTTAATCAATGATAAAATTAGGTTAATTAATAATTGACTGCTAAGTCAAACAATGATTAACCGCTGAGTCAATCAATGATTGACTACTTTAACAAAAGATGACCATTTTTGTAATTTTGCAAAACTTATACTATTTATGGAAAACATTCTTCAAAATAGGGTCATTTATGCTGAAATCCAAATATACTGTGCCTTGTGATTATATTATATTTATTTACATGCATTTCATAATTAAAAAGCATGTTCGTAACTATAAATAAAATTGAGTAATTTACTTATGATAATTGTAGCAAAGGTCAAAATTGATTCCGCATAATCAATTGTGAGTAGTTGATACTAAGTGAAGTATTTAGCGGATCATAAATAAAATTTAATTTTAGTGACCGTTTTAATTAAATCTTATAAGTACTAAATATATAAATGCTCTCAGTTCTGAGTTTATTGTAAACATCTTATACCTGGATTTTACATTTCTTAAATTACTCCGGAGTGAAAATTTATTAATTCAATAGCCTTTATAATTTGGAAATATGGATCTATATAAAGTGATTAATCAATATAACGGAATTTTGTGGCTCCTTTGGGAATTAATAATTTCTCCTTAAGTTGTCAAAGTAATTGATTACTTGAATGTTTCATCAAAGTATTATCTTTAGGGAACCAACATACTTGATTATGTTGGGATGATCAATAAAGTGACTAGCAGGCTTGGATGAAGGTGTAATTTAATTGGATGAATGATATTCATACCAATTAAGTTACGGAAATTAAATAAAGGGGCATAATATGTGATTAGCGTGTCATAAATTGCACTATATTCCAAAAAAATAGATTTTTATTCTCATAAATTGTTTTATATTATTTGGAGTACAATTTCATAACTATAGTGGAATGATTAGGAAAATAATATTTATTTCATTATATCAAAGTGGTGATATTGGATTGAATTAAATATTAGGAGCCAAATACTATAAGCCCATAAGATTTTTAGAGAAAATTATTGAACTTACTCTTAGAGTGCATGCGTATAAATTTTTACTCTTTTCTCTTGATTAATACCCTTTTGATTAATGTAATTGTTTAAATATATTAATTAAGAGTAAAGGGTAAAAGTTCAGACCCATACACTCTAATAAGTATTTATCTTTTTTCCTTACAGATTAATAGAGAATATAAATTATGAACTTTTTCTTATTTCAGACCTTATTAAATTGGTTGGATTAGGTCCAGGTCCAATATGCCATCTCTAAGCCTAAATGATGAGATAATTTATTTATGAAAATAAATAAGATAATTGTTATAACAAATAACTTTGGAAATCAGTTTAATATTTTTGATATTTTGTTTTTTTAATTAATTTTAAACTTATTCAGATAAAAAACTAAATTGTAAAGTTAAAAAAATTAAATTAGGAGGTGGAAGTAGTAGGCATGGCAACCACCTTCATGGAGGTGTAAGTTTGGGCCACCCGGCCTGAAGAAAAATTTCAGGTCAGCTCGGTCCGGCCCTAAAAGAGAGAGGGTAGGCCCAACCCGGCCTTAAGCCCAAAAAATTTAGGGCCAGCCTGAAATTTTATAAGGTATTTTCAAAAAAATCTTTAAAAATATGATGTTTGGGTTGGGCCGGCCCCAATCCTAAAGGGGAGAGGGTCGGCCCAGTCCGACCTAAGTCCAAGTCGGGCCCGGGCTAACAGTGGCGGGCCTTGTGTCAGCCCATTTAGCTGGGCCTAAACTTATAGCTCTACACCTATCAAATAATTTGATGCACTAACGTAGTGCATTAGCAGAGTAGGAAATCTTTGGATTATTTCGATGGTTTGTTTTTAAATTAAAAATAAATAAAAAATGCTATTTTAAAAAATAAAATATTTTTTTAAGGTTGTCGGAGTCCGTTAGATCTGAGGGTATGACGTGTCGGGGGTTGACATGCATAACTATACGACTTATTGAAAGCGAATCCAACGTGACCGAAGTACTTAGCGAGCTTTGAGGTAGATTATGTAGGTAAGACCTCTGACAGAGGGTGGAGACGATTAGGCTTGGAGAGAACTAAAGGAAACAAATATCAAGGTCCTCCTCGTTAACGAATGTCCAAAATACCCTTGCTTGATGATGATTTATATGGTGGATAATGCTTGATGAAGGTGAGAGTGTGACTTGTGATGTGGATAAGGCTCTGGTGAAGAGGCACATTGAGGGCAGACGCTCTGATGGAGACATGCACACACAATATTTTTTAGAGCAAGGTCGACATGTGTCTTTTCAGTCTGACAAAGAGATGGTCTGAGATTGGAAAGACTTGAACGCAAAGTTTTGGGTTTGGGATTTTCTGTTGGGATTGTTTAAATATAATATATAAGAATTTGTTAAGTTTTATCACATCTAAAAGCAGACATAATTTCCAGCAAGCAGGGTGTTTTGGAGCCGAGTTTGGACACCGCATCGTTGGAATGGACAAAATTTCTAGCAAGCATAGCGCTTTGGCATTGCGTCTGGGCGCCGCAGTGCTAGACTGAACAGAGAACATAGCGCCACGGCGCTGAGTTTGGGCGCCGCGGCACTCGGGCATGCGCAAACGATTTTTGGTTTTCAGAAACTGGCGCAGC